GGGACTAAAGCCTGGAGGTTCCCCTACTCAGTGGTCAGAACAATCTCTATTTGGAATTAAGAAGGAAGTCTACCCCATGGGTTAGACTGGTATGGGCTGTGGGGGAAAGACTGTGGTTTGGATAAGGATGATGCTACTTTGAGCAGGGGGATGGGGGTAAGATGGTTCCACAAGGCCCTACCAATCCTACTTTTCTATGATTATATAGGTTTTAGTAGAGTCTTCAAATACTACTGCAATGGCATACTATATTGAAAATACAATCATCACTAGGGATGAATACTTGAAATATTTAGCCTAAAATTATTCAGCTTAAGGCTATTTATTTTCTGCTCAGAGTTACAGCCATTAAAGTTAACCACTTATTCTTCTAAAGAGGAGATGGAACCTATTTGAAGGATGCCAAATAAAACCTTATGCAATGTTATTCCGTCCTCCTCTTGTAAGCTGCCCTGAATCTTTGTTGGGAAACGTGGCATATAAAAACCAAATCAATCAAACAAAAATATGCTTACATCAGATTAGTGCCATAGTACCTTCTTCCATTAACAAGACTACAAGTATTAGTCTGGTCTCCTAAAAACCACTACTAGTAAACCTTCACTATGGCTTTCTTATTTTTCTTTTTTTGTATTACATAAAAGTTACCTAACCACTGAACGAGCTTTACCTGTTGTGGCTGAAGGTCGCAAATGATTGTATTAATATTATTCAGTATCTCGTCAATAAATGGCATGACTTCTCCCACTTGGACCTGAACAAAATGTCGGCGGCATTTCTGTGCTATTTTTATGAAGGTATCACAAGCCATGTCCTGGACGCCATCATGAGTTTCTAAATTAAAAACACACTTACTGAGACCCTTATATTCAATATAAAAGTTACAGAAGCCTGAAGATTACATGTTACCATCCCAAAATTTTCAGCATGTGTCACAAGAAATTCAAGTATTTGTATCAGGAACACGTGACATTTCAGTCATATTTACCATGCATGAACTCAAACAGCTTGTTAACTACCGTCTTCAAAAATTTCCAGTGCGCTCTCAAAAAACGTGGATATTGACCTACTATATACATGATATTTGATGCAATGATAGCTTTGTTATCTTTCCCTCGCTTTTGTTCACAGAGTCCCAAAAGGTCCTATAAGAAAAAAAAATATTTCCTTTTAGTTTTCTTTTTAATATTTACTTCATCCATTTCCTTAAAAGTTTGATGGGACAAGATTCAGAACACTACCACAGCAGTGTTAAAAATCGACATATCAGAAAGACCTTGAAAACAGCCAACGAACTCAAGTTTTGCTAGGTGTTTCAAAACACTGAACGGATTCAATTACAAAATTGGAATTACAGTTCCTGAATTTTTTTTTGTAACTCCAAACAACTTTCTAGAGAGCAATTATTACTGTATTTACTTGAATGCAAGACAAGATTTTCCCCTCCAATCACCATGGGGAAAGAAGCCCTATACCTTATATTCCTGGCAGCCATCATTAAATACATTGGCCATCGTTATATACTACTGCTAAATGCAGCAGGTGCTCCGTAAATGGAAACCAACTATCAAGCTAATTAAATGCAACCAACACTGAGCATGAATGTAAAACATGGCTACTGACAGATGTGGAAAACAGCAGCAAAACACCACAAACAAGAAAACTAGCAGTTTACTGGAAGAGGACACGCATTAGTTTGACCCGGCTCTGCAGCATCTGTATAGATCATACGCTTCAGCGGGTCTTTTTGGTGCTTTTAATAGCTGATCTACTCAATTAGCTATTAGCAAAAAGTGCCAAAAAACCCATGCTGAAGCGCTCAATCTATGCAGACATTGGGTGAGCCAGGTCAAAACTAAAGCAACTAATCCTGGACATGCGCTGCACTTGGTGCGTGGGGATGCTGAGCTTAACATGCTGTTGTTTTGTTTCTTCCATTTTTCTAAGCAGCCCATATTGGGCAGACATGCTGTTAACCTTTCCCCCCCGCCCCCTTTCTCCTTTTTTTTTTGCAGGGGTGGCATCCTACTTGTAAGCCCCAGCTCCAAAGCCTTGGAGTTCAGATGCCCCCTAGTCTTGCTTGTTCTAGCCAAAAGGCAGAAGAGCAGCTAGGGGAAAAGCACAAAAGCAGTCCCCTACTGCTGCAAAAACACCACCAATCAGAGCCACAAACTGGTTACCGAGAATCCCCATGTCACCCCCTCTCTCAGCCAGTAGCATGTGATTAGTGTGGCTCTGCCCTCCATGAGGTGAAGCCAGACCAGGTTGCTATGCCTCACCTGCAGGATCCTAGGATTCTTGACAATCTAAAGGTCTAACAGCTCTGCCATTTATTAGTATTCCATTTTTGCTGCTTCTGCTGAAGAAACTAAAATACCAATACAAGAGTGGGCCAACCCATGGCATGTGTGCAACAAGCTGCTGCATGTGGCATGCAAGCCCTGGGCACTCAGTAAAAGGAGGCACCAGATGGAGGAAAAGGGGACTCAAGTCTATGGCTGTTTGGGGCAAGGAGGGGTAAGAGGGAGGAAGAGAAGAGGCAGCAGGACAGGATGCTGCTGCAAGAGGAGGTATCAAGCATCACCATCAAGAGCCAGATTAGCCTTCCCCCTGGCCCTGCAATCACTGTCAAATTCAGGGCTTTGGATCCTCACTTGCCATATGAAATGGCAGAAGTTCTGGGGCCAGAGAAAGGTAAAGCTGACTTGGCAGCAACATCCCTCTCAGCAGTGTGCCGCCCCACCCCAGCCCCCCACCTCTCTTCTGGCAACCCAGGGTGCACACTTATTACATATGCCCTGGAGAAGCGGAGGGAAGGGGGAAGGGTCAGAACTTAACTTGTGACACCTGGCAAAAGGTCTGCCACCACTGTTTTAATCAATACAACTTACTCTGCAACACCAGCAGAGGCTGCAATAGAATTTAAAAAGCTATTTCTCATCTCAATTATCTTAGTAAAAGAAGAGTATGATCATAACTAATAAGAATACATATAACTTTCCCCAGAAAAGTTATCCTCAGTGGGAAAAGTAATTTGAACTAATAGCGCTATCAGGTGGGGGTAGGAAAAAGCCCTGATCTGTTTTTTTCATATTGTATAGTTTACTAGAAGTGAGGCATTTTTTCACCCTATAGAATCCAGTAATTAATTTAATACTCATTACTAACATATATGTATGCAGACAGAGGTAGTTAGCCATGTTACCCTAAAGTTAGACAAAAGGCAGGGCACTGTAGCAACTTCAGGAGTAATTTAGTCAGTCACGAACATCCTTTGCATTTAAGTGACCATATTCCTTTCTATTTAGTACTCCTGCTCTCTGCAAGTCTATTCAAAACATCTGATGAAAGTAGGCAGTAGCTTACAAAAGCTCATCTCTCCCTCAATGACAGTCTATAAAAGATGCTACACCTTCTGCCTAGTGCAAGTGAGAAGCTCAGTTTTAAAACTTTATACCTTAATTACTGTAACAAGAAATCTTTTTTCATCTTCTTCATGCATTGCTCCACTAATTGAGCCTATAGCCCAACACAGAGTATTCAAATTTTTCCATGACCATTCTGTTCCATTGACTTGATTATGAAGTTTTTCTGTCATTATTCGCTCAGTATCAGCATAATCCAGATGTGTAAGATAAACTGAAAGAAATAAATCAACATTTTAAGAGACATTTTAAGCAGAAGTGCCAATCAAAAATGCATAGCTCAACTCTATGTTCATTCTGTTCTTAAAACAGAATCAACCTGGCCTAGAGCAGAAAACAGTTAAAAAACTGGTCCTGTAAGAAATTTAGTATCTGTATCAAGTCCCAGATGCTCTTAGCAAGACTGTTCAACTTTTAACTGCTTGGAATGTTTGAATTAAGACTTGTACTGAGGCTATTTTACTTGGATTGTTTAGGCTGCTATTAAGCAGAAATGACAAAAGCTGAATCCAGGGATGAAAACACAATTAATTAAAAAGACTTTGAGGTTTCTTTATAGCAATAGTTTCTTTGACAAACTGTCCTAACACACCAGTAGCTCAACTAGCTTATAAGCACTCCAATTTGGTCAACAACTAAACCTGCAGTTTAGTGCTGCAGGCTTAGGTGCCCATATGAAATTATCTACATTAGTATATAGTTGAAACTGAGTATGTGCATTTATAACTAGAAAAAACACATACTTCAGACACGCATCTCAAAACCAAACACTAAGGCACCTTACCAACCTTAAATCTGCCTGATATCAGAGTAGAAAATATGGAAGACATTAGATGTCTTTTCATTCAGTTTAATCCAATCATGGATCACAAAATATAGGATTATTAGTATGGCATTCTAGTAGTCACAGCATTTTGTTGCTACAGGAGGTTTGGATGTTTTACCATGTTTAGATTATTATTAAATAACTTTAAAGGCCCAATTTCTTGGATTTAACACTGAGTTACGAGGCAACTACATTATCACTAGAAACATTTTTAAATCTTGGTTACTTACATATACACACTTCAATTTAACAGTCATCTAGGCACAAAATTATGACCAGAAAACACAAGCGAGCATTCAGGAATCAAAACTAAAAGGTTAACAACTATGAATAAACAGTGAATATAAAGAGCCTCAAAAATTCTTAAATAGATTATGCTGGGGTGACAATGTAGCCACGACGTTCTAATATGAAATGCAAAGTAGGGATTTGGATCAACTTCATGTATGCATTTTGCAATATGAAAAAGAAAAAAAGAAAAAAAAAAAAATCAAAGCATTTTGTCTCAACACTACTGAAATGTTTCGACCAAGTCAAAATTTGAGCTTCCATTTAACTGGAAATTCTGAATTTTCAGTGTTCTATTGCAAGAATTTAATGTTGGAACAAATCTTGCTGCTTATCCTAACCAGAAAGGTAAAAAGCCACTAATGTCTTTACTTTTCTCTTTACCTTGGTGCTCAAAAGTGGTGAGGACACCTTGGAAGAACCTGGATTACACAGGCCATGTACAGGTGTTTTGTTTCTACTGGGAGAAACATCATTCTGAGGTGTATGAGTCTAGCTGGGGCAGTAAATCCCTCTTTAAATGTGTACAGGTTTCCTTTGCCAACTGTGGGTGTTAAGCTCTGGAAAGTTCCCATGGTTGGCAAAACTGTGGTTTGTAAAACTAAAGGCTTATGGGGAAAGTGGGGTTAGGGACTTGAATACTGTACAGTATATAGTGTATAAAAATCATTTTTACTTACCTTTAATAACAAGGTATATTACATTTTTACACATTTAAATACGCCCGGTCAACCGAGCATAGGCATACCCATAGGGGTACTTTAGACAGGTTATAGGGGGTACGTGCCAGCAGGAGGGAACCGAGCGCACCCAGCAGCATCTCCCCCAGTGCATTCGCCTCTTACCTGGGAGAGGGAGGAGGAAGGGAAGGGAGGAATTTGCTAACCAGCCCCGCATAACACACCGCGGCGCTTCCCTGCCTCCACCCGTCTGAATGGTGGCGGACAACTGGTCGATCAGCAGCCTGTGGATGGGATCCTGGGCGGGCCGAGTCATGGGACAACCTGAGCCCAACAGCAGTGGGAACCGCCCCACCCACACCCCTGGACGAGCCACTGGGCTTGGATTATACCACGACCCAGCCCAGCCAGGGCTCCATTCACCGTAAATGAAGCATCGCCAGGGCAGCACAAGGCAAGCAGCAGCAAGCAAGGAGATCCCCGTGCAGCTTCTCTGCTCCCTGCCGCACTGGGTTACGGGGGAGGGAAAGCAGGGCAGCAGGGAACAGTGACGAGTGGGCCTGCTGTTCCCCGTCACCACAGGTAGAGCAGATCCCTGCCACCGCGTGCACCTCTGGCAGGGCTGTGGGCAGAAGGGAGAGGAGTGGCAGGAGCAGGGCCAGGGGGCTGGCACACTGATGCGCAGACACGGAAAACCATGGTTATTCAGAACTGTATACTGTGGTAGCCAAAATGGTATAGAGTATTAACTATGGATGCTCAAAGCCATGCTTGGCAAAATCATGGTTGGTAAGGGAAACCTGTACATTCAAGCTGGGTAAGCGGGAGCCAGGAGGAAAAAGAGGAGGAGGGAGTTCCCTCATCCCCAGGTGCACATGCCTGGTAAAAGATGCTCCCAGTGGCAGCCACTAGGGATGAAGGAGGGCTTCCCCATTCCCTGCTGAATAGGGTGGGCATCTCAACCTGCACTTTTAGCTGTGGATGAGGGAGCTCCCTCAGGCCCCAGTTCAGGCTGGAATGGTTGTATGCTCCCTTTCCTGGAAAGATTTCTAGCACTGTAATTCACTTCTCCAGAATTCAGATTTGGTGGCTTGCACCGTATGTTGTGAGGAGGGATTTAAAGCAAATGCAGAAGAACATTATAGGGTGGGTTCTTTTCCCTTGCTTACTCTGGAGTGAACAAGTATATTATGCTTTAAATTTGTGCACAACACCAAAATGCCACAAAGAAAGGACTGGAAAGGATCTTAGGAGGTCATTTAGTCCATCTTCTGGCTCAAGGCAGTTTCATCTTTCTAAAAGTACCAGTCAAGTGGTGGACTCTAATCGTGCAAACAGATGCCTTTCCTTGTTTTTGTGCAGTCAAATATTTTTGTGGCAGCACAAAGGTGAAGCAAAAAGACATCCATACCCCTTGCCAATGGCAAATGTTGAAAATTTGTGACCGTAACAAAGGTGGTAATAGATGATGTCACTATGTAGCAGCAGACATCCATTTACTTGCTGGTGGGAAAGCATGGGCAGCCAGAGCCATGCTCCCCAACCACCCCAGGCTTCTCAAGCAGGATTAGGCCCCTCATGCCTTGGAGTGCTTGCTAAGATGCACCCCTGGGACCTCCTTAAGTGGGAAACCCTGGGTTTTCTTCACTTAAGGAGATGCTCCAGGGAGAGCCCAAGGGCTATATTTCTTTATGCAGGAAAAGCCCAAGGGTTCCCTGCTTATGGAGATGCATCCCTGGGAACACGGTTTTACCCAATTAAGCCACCATGAGATCTCAGGGGTGCAAGAAAGGTAGGACCTAGGGAATTCTCAGTGCCTCAAGCCTCCATGCTGGGACAGGCCAGGGCAGGTTCCAGTGCAAAGACATGGGGCACTGGGAATTTCCCAGCTCATGCATCACCCCAGGCCTCTGAGTGATGCATGGGTCAGTGCATGTCCCAGGACAGAGGCCCAGAACACCGAGAACCCCCTGGCCCCCACACCATACTTGATCCACCTCAGTTTGATGGCATGTATTTCTACCCCAAGCTGTAGATGTCTTTCTTCAAGTGAAGTGCCTAAATCTGGGCACAAGATTTCAGGTGAGGCCTCACAAGTGCTAAATAGAGTAAAAGAACTATACTCCTTGATTTGAGGAACTACAACCCTGTTAAATACACCCTACGTTACTGGCCTTTTCTTGCAACAAGAGCATACTGTTGACTCGGTCAGCATAAGGCCCATTATAAATACTAGGTCCTTTTCTGCAGTACTGCAGCCTAGCCAGTAGTTCCCCATCTTTATGGCTGTTTACAGAGAAAAAACAAAACAAGAGGCGCTTTAAACTTGGCATACCCCAGCGATGAGTGCAGCACATGCCCAAAAGAGGCAGCACGCTAGTTTGACTTGGCTCACCCAACGTCTATATAGATTGAGCACTGCATTGGGGCTTGTGTGGCACTTATTTAATAAATGATTGGATCAGCTTCAGAAAAAGAGGGCCAAAGAGCCCTGCTGAAGTATGCAATCTATATAAATGCTATGAAGCCAGATCAAACTAATATGCTGCCTCTTCCAGTAAAGCACATTTTTCTCTCACGTCTGTCAGCACCCAATATGTGCATATACACTTGTTCCCTCCCAAGTGCATGTGTCCTTATTGAATTCCATTTTATTAATTACAGACCATTTCTAAACCTCCTGAGTGTCTGCAGTTCTGCCCAGATTTGTTGGGTGGAGTAGCAAACAATATTTACTTGGCTTACATATTTGCTAAGTGTGCACCCAATCCCATGTTCCATATCATTAATGGACCACACCCAAGGCAGACCCCTGAGAAATCCAATTCAATGCCTCCTCCCAAATAAATGCTGAGCTGCTGATAACCATAATAATGTGACTAGTCATGTAGCTACCTTTCAGTACTTTCCTTTACACTGTATTTTGCTAGCTTAATATACGGTTAGAATAATTATAATACGCGGTTGTAGTAATTGATTAATATTTGCTGTTCATTTTCTATTGAGGCATCCTTCCTTCTTACCTACATACCTATTTAATTAGCTTTTCATTATTAACTGAAGTGTTGGTGCTATCTGCTTAAGAACTGCTGTAGCTGAACACAGCAAATTTGATGGACTCAAAACCAAAAAGCAAGGAAAAAACCTGAAACAAAACTTCACTGCCAGACTGCAAACTTTCATTCCACCATTTTTGGTATTACTTCCTCTCTATATACTTGTCCCAGTCAGCTTATTTTTCCTTGTGTTTGCCATCTAACTTAGCTCATAAGCTTGCTCTTTGATACACAGCACCCAACTCTAATAGCAGCAAGTGTATCACACAACATATTAACTTACCCAGCGTTTCTCTCATATTCTTGTACAAGTTTATGGAATCTGTGTCCTTCATGAATTCTCGCACAACTTCCCCCTGATCATTTTCCACAACTAGCACTTCTTCCGGTTTTGCCATGCGGCTAACCATCAACAGCCGGACCTGCATTTACCAGAGAAATTTACACACACATCAAACTAAAGAGTTAATATTTTCAGAATAAGTGTTTCTGAATCTTTAATACAGTCCTGTAGGATACTTGGCTCCGGTACACTTGCCACATTGCAGAGAAGCACTCAACTGCATAAACTTGTTGACCTCCAGAAGGCTATGGGCAGGTCATATTCCTTCAAGTCCCTAAATAAGATTCCAAATAAAAGGGCAGGCAATACTGACCGGAAAACTACAAAGTATTAGGTGACAGCTCTCTCTACAAGGAAGACTCCAAAGATGCTGAAGACACGCAACATATCAGTTTAACAGGAAATCATCAGTAACCAATGTGGATCAGTTACATTAATACTATCAGCACAGATCTTTAGAACTGCTGCTTTATTGACAGACTTCTGAAAGTGTTATTCAAGCTACTCTCCACTCTGTGATCAAATACTACTTCAGCTGAGCTGAGGAACACCACTCTGGGATGTCTGATGAAAGAACAAAAAAAAGGAAAACTACAACAAGCCCTGGAAATAAATTTCCAGAGTCTTCCTTTCTTTTCATTCAGCAAATGACTATGTTCTGGTACAGACAGCCTTCAAAACAGAGCACACCACACCAACCAAACAGGACATAAAAAAAAAGACACTCATAAAAACCCCAACATGCTTCAGTATTAGTGAATCTGGCAAGCTTTTCACTGGGTTCTTCCCACACAACAGAAGATTAAAATTCAACTTCTCCAACTGCTGCAATATTAAAACATGATACTGTAAGATTTTTAAATATTATTTTCATTCTAATTTTTTCCCCTGAACTTGTTGCATTTCATTTTCACTAGCATGTGAAAAGGTTTAAATGCACTGAACAGTAATGAATGGCACTTACTATATGCCCTGGAAATATTAGTGCCCAAAATATTTAAAACACAGACATGCCATGTATTAATGCCTGTAACTCTTGAGGCACTAAACAAAGTACAAGTTTTCATTATTTCAGTTTTAATAGGATATAGGAAAACTTCTACAGTGCATCGAGTTACCACGGATTTAACGTTACCTTGGACAGCACAGGCAGATAAAGCTGTCTCCTAGGAGGAACATCAAAGTGCTGACTTCCCGAAAGCAATGGAGAAGCAGATGTTGAAAAGGGGCTCTCCCTATAAAGTTCAGCAGCCAAATGATTCCAGTATTCAAGACAGATTTTGAAAATTTCAGTTTCTTCAACTTCTGACACAAGCAACATGTAGTGAAGAGCCTACAGAAATGATATACACAAAATGGGATTAAGACTCATTTAATTATTTCCTAGAAATTAAGACCTTGGAAGTTAAGGTTTATTTAATACAATATTTAGGAAAAGGCTTTTTCCTAAACCCTCACAGTAAGATTTAAAAACAAAAAGCAATTAACATGCCACAATACCATTTTTAGATTAGCACCCTTAGCCAGCAGCATGCTGCAACATCCACCAACTCTATAACCCCCATAGTACCTTGGCTGATTTTGCAAATTATGCTTCAAAAATAATAATGAGAAAGTCATTATTTTGCTTTTTTTGTTATTTTGCATAACATTCTGCTTTACAGTTTCCTGAACTACCATGATGGTTCAGCAAGATAATCCTGGATCTGCCAACTGGAGACATTCACTGTAATTGTATTCAGGAGCCCCAGTTATAAAGAATTCAGTTTCTTTTCCTATTTCACAGAAGGCAGACTGCTGAAATATAGAAGGTGAACATTTACTAAATGTAGATGATTGGTATAAAATGCCTACAAAGGGATTCCACAAGGGAAATAAAAATATGAAACATTTCCTTTACTTATGGTATAATGTCAAACGACAGAGAGCACAAAATTAAAGCCAACTGCTATTTATTTTTGCATATACAGAATCATTAACTAACAAAACACAGAGATTAGAATACAAGTACATGGCTCCTACATTGTTTTCCTAACCTTCCCTACTAGCTGATAACCATATACCATGTCACCAGCCATAAGTAAACAAACAAAAAAAACCTCAAAAAAGGGGGTGGCAGTGAAACTTCTTTGATTATAAATTCCCAGATATATACTAAAAAGTACTCTGATTTGTAATTGTACTGTATTCAAAATCTAAGTGTCCAAAAAAAAAAAAAAAAAAAAATACTACATTTAAAAACAATTAAGTCTTACACTCATATAAAATTTTCCTTGTATTTTAATTTGCAACTTTGACCAGAACAACTTTCACCCTCTATAGCTCCCACAAAGCAGAGCAAATAATTTCATGCAGTAGTACTGGTACACTACAGAGATAAACGGAAAAACCAAATTGTGCTGTTTTAGTATGTCCATCTCCACATAGTAAGTAAAGAACTCTTTCTTACATGGCTAAACCAAATGAACTTGCATTTGCTGTCAGACATTTCACAATGCTTAAACTAAGAACAGTAAATTCCTCATAACTAGAATTTACTACTCCAAGCACACCTCAAACAGAGCACTTGCCTGTACTTGGACTACACTGAATCAAATTTAAGGACAACGTGGTACATCTACCATTAACTACCCTATTTCTGTGGCTTACGGACACCTTTGGTGTTTCTTAAGATCACCTGGAATTTTAATTTCTCCTCCTATTCTTAGCCTGAGGTGACTGTGTTCTCCGTTTTATTATACCACTCCTAGTGTTGTTTCACTTCAAAACAAAGAGTTAGGCAGCCGCCAAAAAGATGGCAATGAACAGGAATTCATCGTGTCAAAAACGTTATTATCTGTTATGGTCAGAGTTCTTTGCACCAGAAGAACTGCTCTATTATCTTTCTGTAGTAAAAAAACTAGTGAAATGAGAGTTGCTGACATGGAGTGTCACTAAATTCAGAAAAGCTAGCGAGTGCTTTTACTGTGAAACAGCATAATTTCTCATGGTGTAAAGTGAGCTAACACATTTTCTCTTTCAGTGGAAAATTAAGTGTCCTACCAGTCATACCCATCTCATACATTTTCTTGCTATTAAGAACATGCTCTTGCTAAATATTTGCATACAAACACAATGGAGTCTTAGTGCTGCAGTCTTCCAGCATCTTATTATGACATAGGGTCACTACATAAAAGCCGATCTACTGAAATCTAGACTTAGTGTCTAAATTAAGATTTTCTTTCCCATATTTAAATGAATACTTTACACAAGGACGTGTCATTTTCTAATACTTTCCACTAAAAGAAAGCAGTTTTTTGCCATCTTAATTTCAGGCAACTGTATTTAATGCTACATGATCTGAGATACTCAGCTAATAGGACGTAAGTTATAACCATGGTTCCTGGTTTTGTTTTTTTGGGGTTTTTTTTTAAAATCCCAGATTCTCAGATTTAAAAAAAAAAAAAGAAAAGAAAAAAAAGAAATAAATCCAAAGTTCTTTGATAAAAAAACCCAAAAATGCATGTTTCATTTTAATTGCAGAAAAACACCACTATATATAGAGGTATCAGTTGAACGCAATGTTTTACTGATATGTTCACAATTTTAAAGCAATGTGGAAGCCTACCTGTCTTAATCAATATAACAACAAAGTATAAATACCGATATAATTTTGGCATTTGATTGGGGGGGGGGGGGGGGCAGAAGGAATCATGGAAAATCAGGAGCTCCCCCCACTCTCTTCCCTCACCAGGACACTGGCCCAGCTGCAGCTACCACCCTGCTACTTTGTGGTGCTGAGCAGCCCTGATATGCTGTTGCCCCTCACTCCCAACAGTCCCCCATCCCCCAGTGTGGGAGGAACAGGGGAGGTGTGTGGGGAAGGGGAGGTGTAGGTTACAGGCAATGCATGGGGGGCATGGAAAATATGTACACACCCTATTTCTCCTCCTACACAGGGCACAGGGTTGCAGCCTGGCCAGACCAGCTCTGGGTAGGAGCTACCTCCATGGCCCAGCGAATAGGACCTGGCACAGGACAGAGCACTGCCACCACAGCTGCCAATGTGAGGTGCAACAGTGGCAGCGGCACAGAGTTGTGGCCCCTGCTGCTGCTGGGCAGTCAAGGAGGCTCCTGCCTGGAGCTGGTCCAGGCTGGCTGTAGCCCTGCACCCAGCTATGGGCATGCAAATCTTGGGGGGCACATACCACCTCACCCAACAGACTTACCTAGAGAGAGCTGATCTTCACCGCACTGCCTGGCTGCCATATGCACGTGTGCACACACATGCATATGGCACCCCCTCTTCCCGGCAGCCCCTTACATGCTGGACTCCGCCAGCCTGCAAGGGGAAACCCATGCTTTCCTATGATTTTCTCCTTTAAAGAAAAAAACCCAAGTTTTTCCATGGCAAATGGAAAACCTGGGTCCCTGGTTATAACATACTATGAAACCTTACCTCCATTAAGGTTTCCCTCAGATTTAATCTCTTTTCTATAAGTTGACCATGTTCCTTAAGAAATGTGCAGAGAAATAAACTGAGATTCTGAATGAAGTTCTGTTCGTCATCTTTTCCATTGGAGTATGCAAGCCGGATATTTGTATTTAAAGGAAGCATCTAATGGAACAGTGAAAAAGTACAAGTTTTAGAGTAAAATAATTAAAATTTCTGCATAGTTTGGATAGCTTCAGAAGTATTACTAATTTAGATGTAACCCTTCCCATTTGCAGGTCTCCAGTTTCAATGTGTAAACCATAATAATTGTTCATGCAGAATGACCACTAAATTAGGGACTACCCAAGTATTTTTAAGTAGGCTTTTGGGGGGTTCCCCCCCTTACAAAGAGACAACATGTATTTCTTTCTGGCATTCTCTTTCAACTACCCTACATATGCTTTCCTGCTCCTTCCCATAACCCAAAACTAGTCGTCTTAGACAGGGCAACTCCACATGAACCAGGTGCACAAATTCCTGTGGACAGAGAAATGTATGACTCTACTGTCTATAACAACTTAAACTAGTTTTTAAGCTGACCATGTTCCTTAAGAAACATGCGGGTAAACAGACTGAGATTGTTTTTTACAATACCTTAGAGTAACTTGACTAATTTAAGTTACTCAAAGGCATTGTAAACAAAAAAAGTTAACCCTCTCCATTTTGTCCTCCATTTAGCAATAGATGCATTAAAAGATGCAACACTGCCTAACTCTAGCCAATAACTATACTAGCACATTGTTACACTTTTATGGAAGATTCTCCAGGAAGTATAAATCTATTATTCTTTGACATATTCGTACAGTGCCTAGCCTGAGCTGGAGCTTCTATATAGGTGATACCACAATACAAGCAAAAATTAAATACAATTCCAATGTCTTAACTTTAAAGATTAATATCAAGACTTCCATTTCAGAGAGTGCAGGGTGGATTTGATTTAAATCAAACCGATTTAAATCACTGTCTAGGAACCCTCGATTTAATCATTGGTTTTTACAAAAAGTACATTCTTGTTGTTTGATATCCTTCATTCATTTAAATTCTTGAAACTTTGCACTGTTAGAGAGAGGCAAGAGCTTGACTCTGTACACAGTTGCAGAGAGACAAGAGGGCCCATCATGTGTTATCTCTCATCTCCACATACTGATGTTAACAACGATATCTCTGGAAAGACAAATTCACAGTTTAAGAACTGGAACTAAACATCAGAGATGTTTAATTGGATCTTCTAAGATGAGCACCGAGTCCCATTGGGTAGAGTGGTCTTCTTTAACCTTTACTAATCTACAGAGGAGCCTCTGGGAACCCCATAAGATTGGGTCCCTAATATAGTCCATGGCCTGTTGTGACCTATTTATAAAACTTTTCTGAAAAGGTTACATGAATATATTGTCTCAAATAGTATAAAATTAGAAGTTATCATCATGGAATAGGGATTATATCTTTGAGCTTTAACATACCTTAATTTAAAGCTATCTTTATATGTTTATTTTCTTTAAAAAGTAGCTCAACAAGAAATGATTTAAAAACAAACCAACAAACCAACAAACAAGACTTTGGGTGGGGGGGGTTAGCTGTTGATTTTTATTCACCCTGCATATGGCAGTGAACCCAATTTGTTTTCAAAAAAATTAAATCTGATGGTTCCAATACCATTTTAGTTTTACAAAACTGAAACAAGTTTAGAAAACTGAAGCCTTGGGATAAGCAAAAGATGCTCAAATTAAAGTGTTTTGGCCAAATTCAGCCGAATTAAATAGCAATACGCTACAGTGATAAAACTGGTGCAAGTTGCAAAAATAGCCTAACATGCCCAATTTGGCATTCCCAAATTGGCTGCATAAAGCAGATGAAATTTACTTGACCAAGAAGTTTTAAAACTATTTAGAATTAATATTTCTAATACAAGGATGGAAGAACAGATCACCAGTCAACTAAACAAAATAACTTCTAGAATACAGTGCAAAATAGAATTTTAAGCCCTCTCTCATACCTAAATGGGTATAATTCTAATATTTTTAAAAACAAAGCTGTATCAATGGTAGATGGGAGGGGTAGAAGGTAATGTTTTAAATAAACGTTAACTCTGCAATCCTGATCTGAGGCATCTAAAAATATACATCCACTAGATGTTGCAAACGAAGAGTGGAAAAATACAAAAAAAGTACCACAGTAATCATTTCAGACATCCATACAAGGGAAGATTTCTGAAATCTTCCATATAGCATGGAAGTTGAAAAAAATATATGGAAGAATAAAGAAGATTTCCCTTGCTCAGGCAGTGAAGTGGACTTTGATCATGTCTGACACCAGGATGTTCAATATACTACAGGTAGTCCTCGACTTATAATGTCTCAAGTTACAACGTTTTGCACTTGCAACGTTTATAAATTGATACCCTGTTTCAACTTTATGACTTCAGTTTCAACTTTACAACGTTTGATCTGATGTGACACCACGCCAGTGAACAAGTTCGCTGCATCGCTCATCTCCCTGGAGAACATCTGTCCAAACTTCCTTGGACACTTTAAGAAAGCAGACAAGACTGCAGAAAAACCTGCAGCCAAGACTCCGGAGAAGACCCCTGCCAAGAACCCTTCAAAATTCCAACCAAGAGCCTTTCAAAAAGTCCAGCAAAGTCACCTCAAAGAAGTCCTTCCAAATCAATACGATTGCTATTTACAATACAAATACATTAATGTAGCTATATTACTAATCCATAATTGATCGAGTAAAAAATTCTGGGGTATTTTTGGTGAAAATAGGGTATCGCGCCTTGGTTCAGGAACCAATTCCCTATTTTTAACATCGTCTCTCATGAGAAAATTGGTTCCAAGTTACATTTCGACTTAGGCGGTTTTTCAGGAACCAAATGCATCGTAAGTCCGAGGACTGCCTGTACTTCAGCTCTGGGAGAGTAGCAATACCTAATCTGCCTGACATACATCTCAGAAGAACATACCACTTAATAAGAAATGACTGTCTGAGACAACAGACGACAGGTTTCCATCAACACATGAAGGAACTTGGAAAAAGAATCTGGTCTATAGTCTCATCCAATTTTTTTTGTACATTAGATCCTACACTGCATATGAGGATTATTTTGGGGACTATTTCAAAGGAAGCACTAAACTTAAACTTAAGGCTTTCTGAAACCTTTTCCAATTTCATTAGGATTGCAAGCTGACAGTCATATCCTCAGTAAAAAGACTATGAGAAAGACACTTCCCACCCAAGGAAACCAAGCCACCAGAAATCTATGGAACTTTCCCATTCCTTAACCAATACTACTTGCAAACAAAAACATTTCACAACATTGAGAATGAAATTGTATCTCTTTTGCCTTTTGCCCTAGAATCTTAGTACTAAAAGAAATTGTGCCACAATATACTATATCAGAATGGTGCAATGAAAACTACATATGGATATTATTCAAACAAACATTCTGATAAGACCCTCGTGTTTCAGAAAAGAAACATCAAAAGTTGTAAAGTTAAAAACTCACCTAAATACCACCTCAGTCTGCAAGTGAACAGACACAGAACTAAAATCTTGAAAGAAATTCTAATGCTGAAACAATGCACATCTTTAAAACAACCACACTGAACATTTAGAAGTCAACTACACTGATTTCCTTCCCATGAATAAATAAAATGAACCAAAGTGCAAGGTAACAGCAAGCCAGCTTGCCGCCTTTAAGGCTAATTAGCTAGAAAGAACTAGACTTTACTCATTTTCACCAACAACCACATTGAAGAATATAACTTGGAATGCTCGAGACACTTGTAGTTGTAAGTGCAGAAATGCATCATTCCAAAAAAATGACTTAGTACAGACAGATTGCTACAAAGTTCACAGCGTGAGGCCAAATGTTATGTAGGTCTTGTACATTTACCAAAGCCATGTTCTTGAACTTTATAGGCAGACCACCCAAGTAAGCAGATTTACTGGGTCACAGGCTGCTTGGAAAAGCCTCCATCAAGCCTTTACACATTTTACAAGTTAAAAAGGCAAACTTACATGGTGATCACATCAATTCTGAGATAACTATGAGATTACTCTACAATAACTATTGAGATTCAAGAAATCTCTTCTTTAAAAGTAATCGCTAGTTGCATACAAACATTAAAAACTAAAGTGATGGCTATTTTGATGGCTTCTGATCTAATCACAAGAACTATTTTATGAACTCTAAATACAGCCTTTGTCTGATCGAAAGAACTAGCTCTATAACAAATATGTATTTGTAAGCTTAGGCTAGGCTTCATCTAGAAGAGGGGAAGGCAATTATTTCAGGTGGCGGGAGGGCTGCTTACTGAGTTTGGCAAGCCATCGAGGGCCACATAACAGGCAGCCAGGGGCAGATTAATATTAATTTTCTACATTTTTAGGGGCCACATTTTGCCCACCCCTGCTCTACAAAGATGGTTTTGCTAAATATAATATACAGTTAGAATTAAGTTTGTTCTGTTTTATTAAAGCAAAAAGAAAGTTACCTGTTTTAACTGCATCATGGTCAGTGTAAAGAGAGTTACGAACTGTTCTTCATATTGGCTTACACTGACACCTGCAATCTCTGTGAGGCACTTCAAAGAGACATTTCGAAACATGGGAACATTTAAAAACTATTAAAAAAAAGTTTTAAAGAAGTATTAGGGATAGCACGCAAACATTTGTTGGGCATCTTATTTCTGATACCCAAAGTTCTCATCTTACTTTCCAGTAGGCCTGTGCAAAGCAGCACGTATTCAATTTGGCCGATTCAGAGGGGCAGTGATTCGATTCACTGTCCCGATTCCATTTGGTCGATTCGGCAGCCAAATCTCTGAATCGGGCCAAATCTCCTCTGAATTGAACAGGCAGTGGTGGCAGCGGCAGTGTTAGTGGCAACCAGGGACACCCCCCCACCCCAGGTGTGCCCCACTTGGCCCGAGTGTCCTGGCACATAAAAGGAAAAAAAGCCCCACACTCACAGGCTGCAGCAATGGTGATCAGGGCTTCTGGGGGCTCATGGCAGAGCCTCCCTCTCCCTCCTCCTAGCAGCCATGGGGCAGCAGTCACATCACACAGGTGCAGTGCAGCTTGGCAGGACACCACGGGGCTCCTCACACTGTCCGGGAGCTAGGGACACTGGGGCTGAGCACTGTCAGGCGCCAGGTGGTTGCTGGAGATATCCCAGCTCCAGGACAGTGCGTGGCATCCTGCCACAAAGGTGCCAGGCAGGGGGACCAATTCCCGCTGCCCCGGACTGTGTGGGGGGCCTCTGCCACGAGCCCCCGATCACCACTACTGCAGCCAGTGAGTGCGAGGTTTTAAGTGCCAGGACACTGGGGCCAGGTCAGGGTCCCCCCCATGGTCTCCTCTCCCCTCCTCCAGCCCCCCTGCCCCCTACTTACCCACATGGAGCCTGGGTCCAGCACCCTGTGGTGGTGAGCAAGGATCACCCAAATCTCTGAATCAATTTGGAGGCTTGAATCAATTTGGATTCGGAGATTCAACCCCCAAATCAGGCCAAATTTCCTTCAAATTGAATAGGCTACCAAAGCTTCACACAGCCCTACTTCCTAGTAGCAGTCACGTTTTAAAAGAGTGATTACCTTGTATATTAATGTGCTGATTAGCTTGGTCTCAAATATGTATCCCAATGGAATCCAGTTAAGGAACCGTAATAAAGTCTCCAAAGTTGCATGGACAAGGGGAGCATTTTGAGAATTTTCCTGTAACAGAACCATATGTAAAATAACACTGTCTTTAAAAGAAATAAAGATAGTTAAGGTTTTCATGAAAAAGTTAGTATCATTAGACTTACCATCACAAACTGACACAGCTGAAATATCTGCGAGAACTCATTGCACATACTAAAAACAAACAAACAAAAAATACACGTTAAATACTGAAGTATCATCATATTAAGTGAATGACACATCCGCTTCAAAGATGCATCAGAAATAATCCAGAGAAGTTGCCATGAAATTTTCAGATTAATAACCAATTTCTCACATGCAAGTTAAGTGCTACCTATTACAGGGATATTGTACCCTCTACTCACTGCTCTTTTAAAATGGCAACATTTAATGTAGAAGCTTAAGAACATAAAAATACATTCAACTTCAGTATATAAGCAGCCTTTTGAGAGAAGTGGTAAATATTCCATCCAATCTCAAAAGCAAATACAGTATAACTCTGTATTTAACAGGAAAACTGTAGTTACATCAACTCTTCAACAGCAATAACTGAACTCTTAAGCTAATTTACATCAAATTAATAGGAAAAAAATGACAAAATGTTTTGCTTACCTATCCTTCAAATGCTTAGCTTTTACTTGAGTTATCTGTCCACTAGAGAAATCAAACACTTCTTCACTCAACAGTTTAAGGATCACCATATTGTTTTGGCAAAGACTCTCGCTTGTTCTGCTTGCCCCTACAATATCACTTATAAATGTTGGCCAGTGTTTGGGCCATTCCTGTTTCAGAATCTGAAAATCAAAACAGTGTAGTAGGTATGGCTTTCTTCCTAAATAGCTGCTTGCACAAAATGAATTATTTGTCAAATTGGTAATTTTTCTAAATTCCCATAAAAAAATAAAAATAAACCAAACTAGAACATACCTGAACAAGAATCATATTCAGTTTTCCAATATATACTTTCTCTTTCTGGAAGAAAGACAGGTAGAGTTAGGTTATCAGTAATGCTTCCCCACCCCTACCCCCACAGAAATTCACTTACTTCTACACATGTTGGATCAGATGAGGTCTTGATAATTAAGCCAACAACATACTTTTTTATTCCTGTAAAGAGGTAAAAATTACATTTTCAACCCACCTGATATTGGATTAACTGGAAAGCCTGATTCCAAGCATTAAGCAAAGGGTCTCCAAGGAATATGCACATGAAGCTTTAAAATAGTCCAATGCACATGTGTACAAATGAAAAATAGTCTCAAACATTCTGAACTCTCCAAAGTTTGTTAGTAATTTATAACTGTTTTGATGTTTCAAGTAATGAAGTGTACCTAGATTGTAATTCTTGATATTACACCAAAGAAAATGGCAAAATAAGTAGCAACTAGAATTGGAATTTTTCATTTTTTCAATGCATTTAGTGTTCTCTAACCCAAGCCTATCTGTATGACTGATTGCACCTAAAGGCTCTGCAACCTTCTGAGAGCAACAGCCACAGAGACTACTGTTAATTGAAAGAAAACATATCCATGGCAGAAACTATGGAAACCCTTATTATACCACCATGTTTCAGGGATGGAGTCTGATGGTAATAATAAAACTGCCTTGCATAGTAATTTGTAAACTCCCAAGTAAAGTATACTTTTTATCCCTCAGACACTTTTAAAAAAAAAAAAGTGCACAACCATATTCCTATAGCTTCAGCAAAGTCGACATTAAAAACTGAAGATACATAGTGTAGACAGGGCTTCCTTTTAACCACCTTTTTGATTAAACAGATATTTCAACAGGTTTGACTTAATATAGTGGTAAAAATGGGCTTATCTTTTTTTAAGGCTGCTATTAATTTTAACACCAGCTCAGCTCAAATGCTGGGAATGTTTTTGTACATTTTTGCCCAGAAACTGAAGATTCAAATATCATGCAGCACTCTCAACTAATCTCGTTTGCCCACAGTAAAATCTCATTAAACTAGTGAAACAATGATAAAAAAAGATAAACTAATTAAATTAAATCACTTCCAATACCAGTTTCCCTCGATTTATGCGTTCCCAGAGAACGGCGCATAAATCAAATTTGCATAAAGCGCACCCACTTTATAATGTAACAAATAGGGATAGGTTCCCATGGCGGTGAGGGAGGGAGGCTGGGACTAGAGCAGGGGGAGGGGTGCCGCTCCTGGGACTGCACAAGGCAGCAAAGCAGAGGGAACGAAGTGACACACCCCAGCTGCAGCAGCCCCAGGAGCAGCCGGCACCAGCAGCCTGCAGCCGCTGGGCTGTGCCGTGCACTACCTGTCCCCCCCCCCCCACACCTAGGCTCTGCTTATCTGCACTCACCTCTGCTCCTAGGCTGCGTCATGCCCTTGTGTAGGTAGCTGGTGTTGGCTGCTCCTAGGGCCACTCCAACACAGGCTGAGGTGAGTGCAGACAAGCGGAGGCCCAGGCAGCATGAGGCATGGCACTTACTCCAGCCTGTGCTGGTGTGGCCCTGGAAGCAGCCGACACCAGCTACCTGCGCCAGGGCATGGCGCAGCCCAGAAGCAGTGGCGAGCACAGACAAGCGGACAACAGGCACGTGGGGACAGACGAGTAAGGTGCAGCCCAGCAGCTGCTGCAGTTGGCCCTGGGATGAGTGGGGCCATGGCGCTTTCCCCTCCCCCCACAGACTTACCTGCTGGTGGGGGGGGTGGAGAAAGAGAAGGAAACTTATGCTCATCACATAAGAGCAAATTTACTTCGCATATAACGAATTATGGGTCTAAATATGCTCATTGCACAAGAGCAAATTCACAAATAAAAGAACCCGCATAAATAAAGAGAAACCTGTATATAATATTCCTGGGGCAAGATTTAAGAATATAGCATTTTGTTTAAAATCTGCAATGGAAGGAAGGAGTACAAGAATTTGGTCAAAACACTCATTTTCAAATTTTGTCAAAAGTACTCAAAAGTAGTAACAAAAATGTGTTAGCCATTGCAGATATCAACGGTCAAATTTGCAAATAAGTTGCGATAATGAACCTAGCCTACTCTTCCCTCCATATAGAGCTATCCAACTTCAAGGGAAGCTCCACATACAGAGGGCACAGTACTGAATTGTTAACATTATTAACACTCCCAATTTTTTGCAATAGATTAACAAACATTTATCAGGGATTAACGTCAGAGGGAGGTTCTAGCTGTGACAGTCCAGGAAATAAATGAGGCAAGGATTTCTATGAGTGATATCACCTGAAGAAAATATGCCCTACATTTGAAAGCTTGTCTAAATCTATGCTAACAATGAAGTTGGTCCAAAAGAAGATAAACTGCCCATAAAAATCCTTGCCTCTCACCAGAGGTTAGAAACTTAAAAATGCATAAGAAATTGCTTGTAGCAGGGCTCTGCTGGGGAGGGAAACCCCCTAAAAAAAAACCCCTCAGAATATACTATTTTAAAAAACAAGCCATTGTAATTTAACTCAAAACTCCCTAACATTTGAATGCACCACGTTGTGAAATAAAAACAATGCACACATTTTTGCTATTTAACATTTCATATAAACTGGCATATAAATTCAAGTTTCTTTTCTACCATCAGAAATTAATTTTACACAATCTAGAAAGTTGGTTATAGCAAGAAGATTAACATTTCAGCTTGACCATGAAAGCTGCTAGGTATGGCGTTAAAAACACAGACATACATACACTCCGATTCTGACCCCCTTATTAAACACAAGTGAGTAAGCATTTTTAGAAATGGGAATAAGTCTCAGATGTCAGCCTCTCGGGTGGTCAAAATTCTATTGATACAATAAAATTTCAATCACTGCCTATACAAGCCATTTTGCACTTGGCCCACTAAAGCACCTTCAACCATCAAGACCATTTGTGAGAGGACAGAATTAAGCCTCCATGCCCTTTCAATTCAAGGCTGCTAAAAAGGGAGCTCAACCTAGCTGTGCTGGCAATCTGTGCTGCAGACAACAGTGAACCATGAATTTAAAAAGGTCACCACCTTTTTTCCCCCACAAACGTTACATGGCCAATCGTAACTGCTGTTTACAGACCTCCATCTAGTGACCTAAAAGTCACATTTCTTTATCCTTGACAGGAGTAAGTTTTTCCAGCTTCCCAAAGCTTTATTTGGGGTGGAAATATACATTTCTTCTACAGCTATTAGATTTATTTAGATTTATTTATTTATTTAGCTTTATGTAATTTTTAAAAAGCATTACATAATTCTCACTCCATACTTCAACAAGCTAAATCCTAGAGCATATTTCTAAATAAAAGGATATATAGCAGTTCTACCTTTAGCCTTTTATAAAGTTTACAAAGTTTACATTGGACAACAACAGCAACTGGAGTAACTCAAGGAAACTGCAAAGTCACTCTATGACAAGTTTGAACCTGCTTAATTGACTACATTCTCCAGGGCTCCGAAAGAAATGCTTGCAAAGCTTCTTAATGCTCTGAAGACATTAAAAAAGTTGTTTAGCCTTTTTCCTCCAAAATGACACCAAAGTAGGGTGCCAACAAAGGGCTGAAGGGCACAGCATACCTCTTAATCAACATGCTGGTTAGTGCTGGCCTTGGATACCAATCCCAGTATTACCTGAAGGCACTGATTCATTCATTTGCTCCCTCAAAAGGCCAAATGTAAAGACTTCTAGACTTAGAAGACATTTCTTTCTTTTCTTCTACAGTGCTGGGTTTTACCTAGTTCCTCTGAGTCCACAGATGCTCCTGGTCAGGAAAGCTTAAGTATATCCTGGGGGGGGGGGGGGGGGGGGGGGGGGACGCACATGTGCCCAGCTGTGTTAGAGAGTAAGGAAACACTAAACAGGGATGAAAATCAACAGTTTGAGGTTTGTTTGTTTTAACCCAAGGCCTTCAAAGACACTTAAATAGACTTCTATTACTCTGTCTAAATATCAGTTGTCCAGCCATGTAAGAGCCAAAAGTGGCATTTACACACAGTTTATTATCTGTGCAGTAAGCTGTACATTGGCTGGATAAGTACGTGGTTATGTATGCTGGTCTTATACAAGTTATAAAATTGTACCTGGGGGGGGAAATACTGAGTGAGCAGATGGGTCAGTGAGATAAATGCTGCTCTGGAAGGTTGCAGGCTTTGGGTTCTAGCCAGATCCTCACCCCCAATGAAGCAGAAACTTTACTACCACCACCTTCTACACTGCTCATGCAATGAATACTAAATACAAGGTGCAGTGTGGCTCAGCTAAACACCATTATCCAGGGCAACTTTTAGACTGCTCCACCCTGGAGAGGTAAGCATTCTGGAAGAAAAGCTGTTTGAGGGGTGACCCAGACTAAACAACCAGCAAAATGAAAACACCTGTGGCAGGGACAAAGCACACCTCAATTTTCCTGAATTCTGTATCCCCTTTAAATTGAGAGGGAAGAGTCTTTCAGAACTTTTGCATTTGTTCACTGCTTTTTCAAACAAAAGTACATTTCAGGCTGTAAGACCGTTAAAGATAAGTACCATATCTATGGCTCTGAACTACAATGCTTGCTGAACCCTCTACCTCCATGAGGACAAACTTAAGAAAGTGCACACAGATCCTCAGATAAAATACAGGGCGGGGCAGGCATGGGACAGAGCCGCAGATCCTGGGGGAGCAGCTCCCACTGCTGCGTTCTGCTTGTTCAGGAGCTACTGGTCCAGAGCTCACTCAGTGGCTCCTGCTGCTTGTCCGGGAGG